TGGCATAAGTCACTTTGTTTTTAAGTCGATATATTTAAGGGTTTGCGTTTTAACACGTTTAAAAATATGGATGCTAACTTTCGAGAAGATTTACTTGTATTTGTTATCTCAGGATACTGATATTTTTCTCAGTCTAAATAATTTCGTATAAACATTAAAAAATCACCACTTTTCATTACGGTAAAGTGACTTAAGCCACTTTCAAAATAAACGACTCAATTGAAAGATGAACACTGACAGCAGAAGAAAAATAACATCGAAGATAGCAACAATAAAAGTGTAATTGATGTAATTTCGATGCTGTTGCAGGCTGCATTAGCTCACTTCATCAATAATCTCACAAACTGTCCAGTGTAACAGAAATCACCTAGCAGTTTCACTATAATACGTTACAGTCTTACTAATTAATTGCATCGCGGAATTCGCAATTCGATGGGAACAACGCGGCACCATTCTCCACTGCGTTACGCGGCACAGTTGCATCACGAGACTTTGATGCAGGCATGCAAGCGGTCTCGTATGTCAGACGTGCACGCGTTCCGCCTAACATCTTCATCCATCGCATAATTAGAGCGAATTAGAGCCGGGAGTTGACAGAAATCGACTTATTCATCATCGAAGAAAAACTAATAACAGATATCTCGAAATTATGAAGCATCTTTATTATGCGGCGATAAAACGCGCCGGATTAGCGTAAAATGTGATTACTTACCTCGCCGACGATTAAGTGTGCTCTAGGATTAAGACAGCTAAGCCGGGCACGTAACACAGATACGAGTCGCGTTCGAAGTGCGCGGAGGATGCACCAATGCGTGCATGTTAACGAGCGTCTCTCCTCGGTGGACGACCTTGGTGATTTTAGTACTTGCACGCGACAAACGAACGTGATTAGCGAGGAATTAATTGGAGACGTCGTCGGGCACCTGTGACGGCGAACCGAGTAGATGTCACGATTATTTCCGGACGTATTCGTTGCGTCGCGAGCGACTGTTGTTGTGGAAATCCGTGTTCGAACTATTCGCATGCGAATGAGACGCTAGTGTCCCAGCTAGGGCCACTGTTCTTGGATACTTTGTCTTGATCTGCTTTTGTCGGCATATTTCGTGCGTCGAAGACCACGAAACCGTAACCAACCGAAGACTTTTTGCATCACACAGTTCCTTGGAAGCTTCTTGGTATGTTAATGCTTCTAAATCGCTGTGCTTCGTCGAAGTCCTCAAGAATTATTGACCATGCATCTCTCGGGACCTTGTTATTGCATTATTTTGCATTCTCAACAGCCCTTAAGAAATGTTGTCCTCTGCATTCCTAAAGAATTTTGTTATTGTGTCTACTTGTATTTTTCTAGATTCTGAACGTCTTTAAAGTGATGTATGCCTCATGACTACAGAATGGTAGTTCTGTGTTTGTTCAGAATCCTTAAAAACTTTTGATCTTTGCATTCCCAAGGAATGAATAAAATATTGTATCGCAATGTATATCTCTGAATTTGTGAAATCTTTGAAATGGTGTATTTTCGTCTACCTTGGTGTGGTGAGCCTTTGTATTGTCAAGACCCTTAATTGTTGCCCTTGTGAACAATAGTAACTACTTGACATTTCAATTTTGCATTATTTATTGAATATTGTGCTCATTCAACAAAACCGTTTAGGAACCGCTTTGGAATTGTGGTCCTTTTATTTCCATGATCTTGAATAGTGGAATACCACCAACAAGGAATCGTTTAAGATCCTTTTAGAATTGTGTATGACCTTGAAAACTGTACTTTTCAATTCATCGACCTTTAAAATCACAGAATTCTAGAAATCCTATAACCCTTCGAATTACACTTTGCATTCTGAAAATACATCCTCAATTGCCATGACGCGGCATCCTTGAAAAAAGTTATATTAAAAAAAAAGTTATAAAACATGAATAGATCCTAAACGAGTTTAAGAGAATTCATGGACCATTTTAAATGATGAAGTACAGTTTAAATTAATTGTTGATGAAAAGTCGACGATAATCCATTGCCATCCCACAACATGTTATCCATTGTTTAATCTGAAATATTATGTAGAAATATCGTCGCATTCCCTTAGTACTCACACACTGTTACCACCATAGCAGAGTGACTTTCCGTACACCTAGTGTAAGAATTATGTCAAGGAACATTCTTAAGCTCTTAATTTTGCAAAACTACTTCGCATGCGACAAGTACCATAATTCTTATGAGCGGAAGTGTATGCACAGAGGCTAGCTGCGGCTTGAACTTCCGGTTAACCTTTCGAGCGGTCACTGACTACTATTTTTAACCTTCCAAATAATTCTTAACCTCGTATTATTCTACAACTCAATTTTATCTTATTTTCATATATTGAAAAAATGATAGGTCAATTACCGAGAACAATCTCCTTAAAAGAATAATAAATCAATTGTAAGTATCAAATGCTGAAAAGAATAATAGATCAATTACAAGTATCAAATGCTGAAAAAAATAGTACATCAATTAAAAGTTGATGAAAATGTCCAAACAATTCAAACAACCTCCTGAATCTTCCATCCAAGATCCCTCAAGTACTTTCAAGAGATCTACAGATATTACATAAGCCCACCAAAGTTATCGATGCCCACGGGCTTCAATCAGTTACGTAAAAGCCAACCAGTCTAGAATAAGAAAAATCGGAAACTTATAAAAGTCATTGAGACTGTGTCAGTGTTCTCTTTTCCGTGAGACCGCACTCATCTTCTCGAGATTAATGAATCTCTCAAATAAAAGCGAAAACCGCTTCCCTCAGAAACTGTGCTGCTCTAAGAGGAATGAGAACAAGAGAGAGGGGAGAGAGAGAGAGGGAGAGAGAAAAAGAGAGAGAGAGAGACGTTGGTACGGGTTCAATCATCTAGGAGAAAGTCGTGAATTCATCTCCCTTCTGTTTGATTCGATTTGGGTTTCGCTGGTCGAGTGACCGTGGACTTCGCGACAGCCTACCTCAACATCAAGAGATCACGGACACGACTCAGACCGGAATCGTAGGTATTTAGGTCGCAGCGAGCGATCGCTGTGACCGTGTTTTGTCGTACGAGTTTGTGTCAAGTCGGTTTCATTCATTGCGAGAACTTGGAAATGCTGGTGCATCAATTACTATACTGCGAAATCGTGAAAGAGCGAATGCTTTGGTCATAGTAATCACTGAAATGTAAAGATTTATTCAAAGCTTTTTCTATTCATTTACTACTCATTCCTCACCAGGGTAAGAAATTTTATGTCTACAACAAGTGATCACATACTAATTATAAAAGTTCGTAATTCATTCATGCACTTCATTGCCATCCATTTCCCTACAAAATATTATATGTTTACTGTGATTATTCACTTATTGTTGTAGAAATATGTTATTTATTTTGGACTAATAATATTTATAATATAATATGATATTTATACGCAGAAAATAATATTTCAATTTAATTGACGTGAACGTAGAAGTTCATCGACATTCTTGTTGCCGATTGTCATCAATTATAAAATCGAGCCGCGAGGCTCGCATAATCGTATCTCCACTTCCCAAATTGTTCATTTTTTTCACAAGCTGAGGGACAATTTGAGGGAATTTACTGTGTATGCATCTAAAGTATCCAGATTATACAAATTAATATTCTCTCTGGGCCATCAGAAATCCAACTATTTCTATTTGAGTTTACTTCAGCATTTCAAGTATTAATTTCACATGGAAACATCGCGAAATAATTGGCGCCCTTGAAATAAAAATTCATGTAGAAAGTTATTAATGCTAGAGTACGAAATGTCCACGTAAGATCTATAGAAATTGCAGGGAATTGAATGGAATTTTTGTTGACTCTTTCGTGCGGTGTAGATGCAGAATGTTCCGCAGTATAATCATTTTCTAATTGCCGAGAACGACGGGAAATTATATTTCTGGGTCTCGCATTCATTACTCAGAGTTTGAATTGGAGTTCCAGCGGTGGAATCGAACGTCCATCTGCCTCTCTTTTGATGTTCGCCTGGCCTACATACACTAAAACATGATGCGATTCACGCACCGACTTCTGGGTTTTATGGCGCGGATTGCAGTGTGTGCATACATCGATATCGGGATATTAGAGCTGCAAGCGGTTCGCATCGGCGCTTTTAGTTCCTCCAACGAGGCGGAGTTGGGAAATTTGTTTCCCTCAATTCGCGATCTCTCTTCTCATTCTTTTTTCGACGTCTGCAGTCTGCTAATATTGCTATTTATACTCCAACGAATCAACGAATAGCAGCCATAAATGGATTAAAAAAAGTTAGCAAATATGTATAGAAAATTCAGAAATGAAATTTGTCTACTTCCTCGATTTAGTTTTCCATGCATCTCCTTTTGTTTTAAAGTATTGTTTTATTTTTGGTTCTCTGATTTATCACAAGAATTAATTTTGAATTCTGGAAGAAGCATCCATGTACAATCAATTGCCAAAATGTCTATGGTACAGTTAATAACACACCTACATATTTATTAGCATCTGTGAATACTTTTTAACCAACCTCATAACTTTCTCTCGAATTTATATTTTTATTGCAGAAACGATTAAACATTTAATCTAATCTAAAATATAAATCTCAGATTAAATTAAAGATTACAATGAGTGTCTCAGAATTTGTCCAGATCTCCTTAGTGCTCAGAACAATAAAAAATCAGGCTGGGATATGAAACACCACGTTAACGAGCGAGCCCCATTTGTCGGCGTAGAGCAAACATTGAATTGAAATAATAGTATTGGAGAAAGTAGTGGAGATGACTGATTCAGAATAACAATAACACTCTAATAAATTGATTCTCGTAGATTAGGTATCCAATACGATGGACAGTTAATGAACGTCTGGTCGGAATAACGAAGGCGTGCAGTTATTGCGGACGAGTGTATTGCGATTTGTAAGGTACAAATAGTACAAAGGGTATAAGAGTACAAACATTGCGTAGGAACTAGCGTATGCGGACATAGAAAAAGTACAGTTCAGAGACGTGACGTAGAAAGGTGGTAATGCGTCGTGTGCACGTCCGTTCGGCTCGCGAACCCGAGCCGCGCACATCGTGACTTACCTCGTGTGTTTTCTATCTCGTGTTCGCTTTCAATTTCGGCTAAGACTCGTGGCGAGATCATTAAATGCGTCATTACACGTCGGGAAAATTGAAATGCGAAAATCAGAGCGTCCGACGAACCAACAGAAACCTTCAGAGAAACCCCCACAAACTTCGCCGTAGCGTAAATCGCGCGAAACATCTTCGTCGAGACAATTACTATTCTACTTTGGACACTCTGTCAGAACATTATATAGACATTCAGAATTTAAAAATGGCAATATCCTCATCGATCTGCGGATCTTTCTATTTCTACATCTAATATTAATATCAGAGATCCAATAAAATACGATATTTATCACTGCTTGCTGGAAGAATAGTAAAAATACAATTTTATTAAGATTCAGTCTTTACGAAGTGTATGTAGGAAACTTTAGTTTCGATACACTAGCACGTTATCTTTCTTTAAAATACGTGTGTGCTCTGCAATTTTATTTAACCCTGAAATGGTACCACGAATCCTCGGATCCACACTTGGATCTTCACTACGAAACTAACATTTTTGAGTAAACAAGTTAAGACTATAGTCCAATATATCAGTATGCAGAAAATGTTACTGGAGTCGCGAGAGATCGCATGGTACCATCAGAGGGTCGAGATGGCTTTTAATGAACAATAAAATCGAAGATCTTACAATTATTAGATCAACTCTAATTTGGTTACAAGTGTTCGAGTTGGTTCGTGGGATTTTCCAGAGATGCCCTTCATTTTCTCAAGGTCGAAGGAGAACAGAGAGAGAAGGTGGCAGAGGTGGCAGACGACAGAAAGTGATAGTGAGGGCTAAGGATCTCGACACGAGCCCCGATCAATAAACGTAACGTGTCGCTTGTAAATCCTATATCTGATAAATACAATAAATATTAGAATAGAACAACGCAATAATAAATATATTTATATTTGTATATATATGTGTATATATTATATATAATATAGGAAGAAACATGTCGACACAACTAGCTCTAAACACCGAGAGGATCCATCTGTTTTTCTGCTTCTCCGCCTTATCGATCTAAAATTCTTTCACGTATTTACAGCCGCCTCGAAGTCTCTATATTATATATTACAAAAAAAAGTAGCGAACGATCGATCCGATTATCGATCACGCACCGTGAATAAGCGTCTAGCACGAAACACGCGATTAACTAGAACAAAAGTGTCTCTCTACCGAGACGAGAACAGAGGGAACGTTCTCTGGTCTGGCTCGTTTCTCCCGCGGGACACTCACGCATACAATCATGCAATCGTCTCGAAAAAACAACCGCGGAACAAAGGACACACAGGCACACGCTCATTTTGAATCATTCTCGCGAGCTTTCGACTCGCACAATACGGATCGGCTCCGCCCTTTCACACCCCCGAAAACTTCCCTAGGGACTGTCTGTTTTTCTCTTTTTTTTGAGTAGAAAGGAAAAGAAACGCGCTCGAGCTGGTCGTCTCGATTGACTTTGATCCCTCCATCTGTCTTCGTTTTCTCGTTTCTCATCATTCTGTTTCGCCAGCTTGAAATCATCAGAGCTTGGACAGCGCATTCGACGGATTAAGGCTTAATGATATGATTCGCCGTTGTACTCTGTTCCTCCTTCGAACGTTAGCCCCTCATCTCTCGCACGTTCTCGTTCGTTTCTATTTTTCTCCTACCCAGACTGCATTGGAATTGTCAATCGTTCCTTATAAGACAAGGATTTAACGAGACAAAGTATAAGAGTGAAAGCAATTTTGACCAAATCCAATAGCTTGTCGATCGAACGATTTCTCGATCACAAATAATTGTGAGGATGTAATTCGAAGGTGGTACAATCATTCTGATAAGGTTTGCTTTAAAAAATATTAGTACAATCATTATTGTACATTTGAATACGAGTAATTATTTCAAGAAATTTTAGAACTGAAAGAAAGCCAAGAAGTATAAAATCTTCTTCTATAAAATTTACTAGCTTGAAAATAGAATAACGATGTCTATGAACACATCTAAAGTGATCACTGTTTTATGTTTCATTTACTAAAAATATGAATAAATTATGATCACATTAAAAATCTTTGTATTAGCATAATCAATGTTCAGTCAGAAAACAGAAATTGTATAACAATCTATCGATCAATACCAAACAAATCCCAGTTCCACGAACCCTTTAATAATTCCATCGCAGCCCTTTCTATTTGATTTCTATGATCACGGGTCTGTGGGTGTACGAAACGATGCACCATTATCTTTCTCACAATCCTAGGACGATCTAGTTTGATTTTGGGACTGAATTCTTCTCGGATAAAAATCACTGGACTGCAGAAGTGGCGATATTACTAGGCGCATCGATTCGCGGTTTCTTTTAAAACAAATTTCGCGATGCGTACTCGCAGTTAACGTCCAGCTACTTAAATCATGTGGCTTAGATATGATTTAATTCAGAGAGTTTTCCCGATGACAGAAGGGCGAATAGATTGCTGGACGTTACGACGCAGAATCGAGAGAGACGGACCTCTAAGCTGCGGCTGCCTCGACGGATGCATGGACGTTCGCTGGACGCTATTTTCCCCAGCCTTGGAATTTCGATTTTTACTATCAAACTATGATATATCGCACTAGGATCTATCGCCTCTAACATTTTCTCGATGATCGGTGCACAGCTAAGGAAGATTTTAACGAGAACGCGCAACAATATAGTTCTATTGGTGGCCAGCCAGGCACTGTCGAAGACGGTCCGCCTCCCTCGGTCGATTATCCATCGATCCTCCATCGAAACCTATCTAACCTGGACGCGAGAGAGACGCTATTTAAGTTGTAGTTTGTACTACGTGGAAGACGGATGTCCGTTGAGAGTATTCGAGTTACATCGAAGGACAGATCGTGAAAACCGAATCGTTTTGTTTTCTGGCTGCCTGGACCGAGAACAGGCTCTCAGTCTTACGCTGCGATCGAGGCTGACGTCGAGTCTGCTTGTCTCGATCGCCGGGAGACCGTCATTCAATTGTTCCCGAGGAAATCGAAGGAACACGACTTGTTGCTTCGACGATACTAAGCGTCTAGCCGGCTACGCCTAACCGCGGTTACAAAAATTGTGCGTCGTCGATTGTGCCTCCTTGCGCGCGTCCAATATCGACCGCCCAGACGAGTCCCGAATCTCGACGATCTATATACACCGCAGGATCGATTCGCTGGACAATCTCTACCTTCATCATCAGAACCGGAAACCGATCTCTCGAAACTTCCGTTTTTCCAACGATAAAACACCTTAAAACAAGTTCCGAACTACCTAGAGTAACGTAGGAGAGGCCGCCATCCTCTAAAAGGATGTTCGAATTCCTCTCCAAAAGTATCTAAATGTGTGAGACACTTTTGAGCGCTTCGTGATTATTCCTGGAATCCTGGACGAATTTAGAGTCGTCCATTGCTGACGAAAAACCTGATCCGAACTGCCTAGAATAACGTGGGATAGGCTGTCGTCACCCTAACAGGAGCTAGAGTTCTTTTCTGGGAGAGTCTGAAGCGTACGTGACGCTTTCGAACGATATCAGGTGTCATTTGGAATCTTGGACAACCTAGAAATCATCCTCAGATGATGGTGAGCAAGTTCCAAAGTAACTAGAGCAGTCAGGCTGGTTTTTACCCACTAAGGGTAGTTGGAGTTCCTCTCCTAGAACGTCTAAAACATGTATGTCACATTCAAACGATCTTAGATATCTTCTGGGACCGTGGACCGCCTGAACATCTTTCGTCGATGACAAGAATCGAGTTCCAAACGAGCTAGTGCAACTCGGGATGTCTAGCATCCCCTAACAATAGCTAGATCTCCTCTTATAAAAGCGTCTAAAACACGCATGACACATTTAAACATTCTAAAATGTCTCCTGGAACCCTGGCCCACCTAAGAATCGTCCATCGATCACGATAATCTACCTAGAGCACCTCAGGGTGGCTCTCACCCCTTAACGGTTGATAGAGCTCCTCTCCGGAAGCGTTTGAAACGCGTACGACACATCCAAACACTCTGAGTTGTCTTTTGGAACATTGGACGATCTAAGAATCACCCCTATGCGATGACGATCGAGTTCCAATGCAGCTGGAGCATCTCAGGTTAGTGCCCATCCCTTAACGGTAGCTGAAGCTGCTCTCCTAGAGCGTCCAAACCACGCGCAACGTATTTAACTGGATTGCGGTGTCTCCTGGAATCCTGGACGAGCCGAGGATTCGCCGATCGGATGACACCTCCGCTTACATGAAGTAAACGGGGTCGTTCTCGACAATAGCGTCCAGCCTGGCCGGCAAGGTGGTCGGTCTCTGAGGAGCCTCGGCGTTGCACACGATGTCGCGCGACCCCTTGCGTCACATGTAGGTCGGTTTGACCTTATACGCCCGTTTCCAGACCTCGCAGAGGCAGACGGTACTGTGGAACCTGTAGAAGATCGCCAGTGGCATGGATACGTGCGTGATGATCGTCCAGGCCCACAGACCGTAGAAGTGCAACTGCACCGGATGCGATTCTGCACGCGACTTCTCCAGTGTGTTGATCGCCCACATTGCCAGATTGGTCACCAACAAGAACGTCACGATCTCTCTGCCAGGCTTCTTCCGGATCTGCTTCGCGGTTGCTACCGATCTTCTTGAAGCGTCCAAAATGAAGATCGTCTGGAATGTAGTCTGCAGAACACTAGCCAAAGCAGTCACTAATACTAACACCGTGTGCTTGGCCAACGTGAACTGCGCGCCGATGATCGTGAACGTGGAATAGATGAACATCCCTGTTTGGGCCGCAACCAGGAGGATGTTGTCCAGTTCCAGGTTTCTGCTGCCGTCGTACCGTAGCTTTCGCATCTGGAACATCCCTATCAGCGTCGCCATCGTCGACATCCCGTACAACGTCAGCTCGCAGATGTTCACTTCGGTTACAGCGAATCCCACTAATTCCGGTCGAGAGATTAGCACGAAGAACAGAATCAGGGAGATGATTGTTAGCACCAGGATCAGGATGCCCACGAAGAGACCCTTGTGCGCTCTGGCGCAGTCCACGCTGTAGTGGTGTGGCGATCTCCTGAGGAGATAGACAGCGTTAGCCTCGAGAAATTGTTGGCAGCTTTTGGAAGCGGTTTTTGGTGTTTGATGAGTTTGGAGAGAATGTTTTGGACCCAGATACCAATAGGACACATGCAACAATACAAGTTAAAGGAGAAAAATAGCTTGAAGATTACCAATCGAAGTAATAGAAATGGAAACACGACGGACCAACGCGATTCAAATTATAATATAAACTTCCAAAGATAGGAACGAAACATTTGCACTCCCTATTCTTAATTGAAATGTACTTCTCCAGTTAATGCAAATAAAATCATGCAGAAGAATGAAGAAAGGTAGCTTCAAGAATAAGACGCCAATCTAATTCAAGTAGTGAAAATAATAATCATTTTGTGACAAGAGAAGTGGCACGTTGACGATGTAGGAAAGAAAATCGAGAACTTGAAATTAAAAGTAAAGACAACGAATTTTGGAGTAGTGTTTAGAACAACCGTAACGTTTGTTGGAGTAAATTAGGGCAGTTTAAACTACCTGTAAGCGTGCGCATGATGCCTAGATCCTGGCGGCACCATCGGCTGCGTAAACCCTGCCTTGGAAATGTTCTTCCACATCACATACAGAATGGCAGCGCAGATTAGGCTATATTCGATCGTGCAGGGGAAGAGGAACGGGCTGGCATCTTGGACCAACGACCCCATTATGTTGGTTCTCCTGCACTCGAACATGTGATGGGGTCCCTTCAGTCCCCTTGGGATCCTCACCTGACCGCCATGATGGTAGTACACATGACCGCCGAAATGGAGATTACCCTTCCCACCTAATTAGATTTGATTTTTAGTAAAAACGCGGAGCTACAATTGCTGCTAACGATACGCAAACAATTTATTGTTAGTGGAATCCAGAAAATTACATGCATTAGCTTTTGAAATTTAAAGTTTCATTCACAGCTTCATTCAGCTCTCAGTCAACATGCAAAGCTAAAATGTCCGCTAGCAGCGCGCCGACAATTTATTGTCAATTGAATTTACAAAATGATGTTTACAATGATGTTTACTCAGGTAAAAGTTTGTTACACACGACGCCTTGGGATCGCTTGCAACAGCTTCGGCAAATTCAAGTTTCATGCACAATGTCATTTGACTTTTGATTCAGTAAATTTGATCGAAGCTAACAATTTATTTCAATAAATATGCAAAATTATAAATTCCGACAAATATATAAACGAACAATTTACTGGCAACTGAATTGAAAAAAATGACGACTTTTAATCAGGAAAACGTTTGTTAGGAGTTCTGTCTAAGGGCCGGATGCAATAGCTCTAAGAATCAACCAGTCATGCCGAACTTTAGTCGCAGTCTGCGTGGGCGTTACGAACCGTACCTAATCTGTGGGAGATTCTCAACGAGCCGTTCTCCGGGTTGTAAAACGTCAGTATCTCGTGTTTTGTTTCCTGGACCAGGACATTCAGCCAGACGGACAGATTCGTGCCGATCATGTGCATCAGTCCGAAACGCGCGATCACCCGATGACGATAAACTTTCATTTGCTGTCGAAGGAAACTGTCTTTTAAGATCCATTATTGTCACCGTCATCCTCTATGAACGCAGGGAACTTCAAAGAGGGAGTCTCGGATTACTGAAGTTCCCTTTTCAAGTCGCGAAGCAGGAAGTCTTTAGATCTTTTTTCTGCTTCTTTAAAAGCAGACGAGAATAGGTTTCAGAAAATAGATAAGTGCATCAATTTCTGTAAAGCTTTGTGCCTTAAAGAAATTTTCGCGATTATTACATTTAAATAGCGCAGGGACAGACTATCACTGGACTGCAGATTTTATACATTTATGATTCCATTTAGAACAACTGTAGAAGGAAATATTCAGTCTACTTTCAATGAAATTTTTAAGACAGTCGATAAAATATAAACAATCCTACAAATTGATAATCCTAAAGAATCGTTTAAAATTGAAAGGTTCTGATCTTCGAACTTCTCTCGGATAATTATAAATTTAAAAATGTTCTACAATATTTTATATCTTTCGAATGATGAAAAGATTTAGAGAAAGGTCAATGAACCTACAATTCAATCTCCGAAGTCCAAAAGAAGTCTCAAACGAATCAAGGATTCCGGATAAGAAGGAATGGAAACCTTTGCGATTGAAACTATCGATAGTCTTCGCCGTCTGGACTAGTTCTTCCAAACGACAGGCAGCGTTTGCCACGGATCAAGGGACAAAATTCCCAGTGCACTCTGGGACCGACAGCTAGCGCAGCAGAGGAATAATTTGATTCTCCCGTGAGTCTGTTGGCCGCGAAACGTCGGGTCAGGTCGGGTCGTTAAACGTTGAACGATCGGCGTCCTCGATCGAAGAGGCTCTCTCGAGAAGTTTTAATCAAAAGCGGTCGAGGACGGCGCGAGATATTCATCTGTCCGGGGCAAAGGAAAAGAGCAAAGCGGCTAGGAAGTAAAGCACCGGACTCTGCTCGCGTTCCAGCATTAGTTTCAGGGTTGTTCACCCTTCCGCTTCATTAACCTCTCGGCGGAAAGGCTCTTTTCTCTCGGTTTGCATCAACGCTTTCGCTCTTTCGTTAGGCTACGCGTTACGCGAACCGATTTCTACAACATCGGCGAACTCTCGTTTTCTCTCTCTATCTTTTTCTCGTTATTTTTAGACCCTTCACCTACTGGAAGACGAGTGGCTCCCCTTCGCGATTTCGAGGGAGTCCTCGCGCAGTCGCTCGGCGAAAAATTGCACTGTGAACCGAGAGAACTCGCTGTTTTCTGCGAAAATGAAACAGACCTCTCGCGATTATCGATCATCTTCGCGGCTCTGGCGATCCCCCTCCCTGGATTGACCCAGTCGACGAAACCGGGGATTGAAAAGGTTCTGACAATAACTGTTTCAAATTGTTATGTAACGGATCTGGCTAAAACAGTTCTGACGAATCGAAAAATCTCATTGGACAGTGGTGCCGGTTATTAAATTTTGTTATTAAAAGATAAACGAAGTAAAAAAAAAGGAATACAAAAAATGTTTTATTTGATAAGTATGAAGTTAATTATGCTCGTCATCGTAAAAGTAGGACGAAACCCTTTTATCGATTTCAGAATCGAAACCAGCACGAATCTCAGTTTAATTCGGTATGCTCTGCAGCGGTTATAAATATGTTTTCGGGTGCTGTTTAAATTGCGGAAGTTGTTATTAATTCATTCGATTATTATTGAAAGAGAATTTTTGAGAAATTTATAAAGCGTTCCGATTTTATTTAAAGTTCAAGAATTATTATTTGAAGCAGTATCAATCGATTTTATTTAAATTAGAAAATTTGCTAGTCAATCAGCCTTTTACTATTTCAGGGAAGAATTTTTTAAGGATTCAAGGGTTTAAGGATTTATAAAGCAGTGTCGTTGGTTTCTATTTAAGTTACGAGAGTATTATTATTTATTAGTAATTAGTATTATTTAGAACAGTCTCTTTAGGAGTCTCCGAGTTGCTTGTATTCAAATTACGAGAGCTGTTATTCAATCATCCTTTTAGTATTGATCAAAAATTTTGCCGAGTCTTATAGAATACTATCGTTTAATTCTATTTCAATTACAAGCTTCAGTATTCAAGTACCCTTCTACTATGTTAAAGCATTATGGATTCGTAAACCTGTATCACGAACATTAAAATATTGCATAAGTATTTATTATGGCTTTGGACAGCCAAATTAGGGGTTGGAAGCACCCTTTCGACATCGGCGCTCTTGCAGCTATTTGGGAAATTATGACAGATCAAAGGGGTCCCTAATTACAAAATTGGTTTTTCATGTTCAATAATACTGATTTGATAATGTAAGAGCCTCTTCGTTGCCAAATGCTCATCTCAAGTGCAGTATCAAAATTGCACATCAAAGTCTATCTGCTATTTATGGTGGGTATACTACACATACATGTTTCATTAAAAACCATTACTTTCTCAAATCGTTTCATAATAGTTGCTATATCCATTCTTTAAAATTTGTCCAGGAATCGTACTGAATTCAAATAATAACTCTAATATTGCTAATATTGCTAACAGTTGCTCATCTGACATTTTTCATTTTTATTGCGTATAAAATCTGTCACCCTGTTTTTCTAATTTTGTGTAAATTTTTAATATATCGGCTGCCATATTAACTTCTTAAAATTTGAAAAAGTTGCTACCCCTCTTTTCAAATGTCCTTCTCCATCAAAAGGTCACGTCATGCATATTAAAATAAAAGTTCCCTAGTCCAACATTTCGTAATTATACACATTCTCGTAAGGGAAAAATTTAATTCAACCTTTGTGTCTTAACTCTTGTTTAATTTTTTATGAAGACAGTCCTTGGCAACCCTCGAGGGTTGCTATCCCCACTTTCCAGAAGCTTTCATCCACACAACTCTTTAGACAGATCCCAGTAACCAAATAATCACCAGAAACGACCCAATCGAAGTTCTACTCGTAGTAATCTATCATCTCACCTCGTTGTTCAGAAATATAAAGTACATCTGAATGAAGATGAACGCCATCCTGGTCGCGGGCGTCAGGGCCAGCATAATGTTGTGGCACTTGGTGTTCTGCTCGAGCTCAAAGTACTGTCCGAACTCGAGCCCGGAGTAGATCATCGAGCCGATCCCAAAGGCAACGGCTCCCATTCTCAGGTAGAAGCTGCCATAATGTTGCGCTGGCCTAACGGCGGTGATGTGAGGACAGGCGACGTCGGCCGCGTCGCTATCGCCGCCGGCGCCGCTCGACGATCTCGACGAGTCCAGATCGCACACGTCCTTTTGCTTCTCTTCTCATGCAAATTTATGGTAATCGGCCGGTTAAGATTAATGCGACTTTATCAGGGCCCCGCTCGTCGTCGCCGAAAGTGGATCGAGGAGCTAGCGAGCTTTCGGGAATCTGTGCAAAGCTGATTTCCGCTGAGCGATTCTTTCAGCTCGATGTGCCAGGCAAGGATTCGGATTAGATGTAGAATTTCAAATCTACGCGGTGCTAATCTGTTGTTGAAGTCAGTGTTCCGTGGAGGATTATAACTCTAAGACGGCGTTAATGGGTTGTCGTGAGAAGTTTCACAAAATTGGCGTGAAGTTTTCATTTTGGGACGTTCGGCTTGGTGATCGCGATGTGAAATTCGGTGAGGCTATTGATGGACGAAGCGTGGGTGCTAGACACATTTTTCGAAACTTTCTCGAGGATGCTGATACACGTTTTTAATTTTGGTTTGATGATAGACAGAATTGTTGTGAATTTTGTGAATGTTACTTGTGGTTATACAGTCTTCAAGTAGGCTGTTGAAACGACTTTATTCAAATTTACACTGTTAATTGTATAATGTGCATCGGTACAGATATTTGCAATACAAAATGAAATTGTAGTGGTACTTTTTTTAGAGTGCTACAATGGATCCTTGAAGTCTTCTTTTAAGTAATAATTCGTTAAAAAATTAATGAATAATATTACGCGAGTCGATTTAAATCGTGGCGCCTATTGAAAAATTGATTAAGATGTAGCTCACAAGGGGATATCGACAGCTTGAAACTTCGGAACAACGTGCAGCTTTGCACAAATTTAAAGTATGCAATTTTCATTTTACTGAAAGACAATAATCTCAGGTGGGAAAATCTTTAGTACTTAGCAAACTGTGTAAGAGATACAAGAGATAAGTTAAATTAAACGTAAAAATCTTCAAAATTCACCACCATTTTGAAAGTCCTCTTAAAAATAAACTTGCATGGACTTTCACTACTATGAAATCATTCCAATTAATGTTTAACGAACATTGTACTCGAGGAAACAAAAGTGAGTAGGTTGAATACAAAACGGTAAATGCAGAAACAAAAATTCAACAATGCTGTCGAACTATTTCCCAATTATTAAACATGTTAAGAACGAAAATAAATTTTCATTTAATCCCTGTTTATTGCAATCAAGGTACAAAATTCTTATTTTCCATTAGCCACAGCAGTTAATGACCAGCGGTTCGGTCAACAGCATTGTCAGCCTATAATCAATGTCGACAGCGCAGTGAGAGCGTAAGAAAAGAGGGGAACGATCACGGGAGAACGTAGTCGTTCTCAGAGATCGGAAAAGCCCGCGTAGAATGCCATAAGTGAAAGCATTGCTGGTCTGTACACAAAGGCATAACCTGCTAGTAAAACAACACGCGGCAGAGCTATCTAACCCGTTAATTCAAGGAGAAATTTCACACGGATCGGCTTGGCGAGTAGCACCCGGCGAAAACGAAAAGAAAGGGAGCAGTGTATGTAAAGAATCATGATCAACTTACTTGACTTCGGTTTCGTGTCTCGTAACAGCGTGGCGTACGTGTAGACGAGGAAGATCATACTGCCGAAGTACAGGTACAGGTAGAACCCCTCGTAGAACGACGGCGGGATGTAGGTGGATATTACTTCCGCCATGGGAAAGGCGATTCCCATGACGACCAGTAGCTTTCCGTACAGGGCGCTGAACGTCGTCGCCAGGGCGTCGCTGCCGAAACAAGCGGAAATTATGCCTGAACGAGGTGTTTCTGTCTTTTACTCGGAACAGAAGGGGATAGGGTTCGACTCCTTCGATAAGGAAATGGGACTATTTCCGGCGCCTACCTGTTGTGAGTTACGTCCTCGAGCGTCTCACCGCGGTTTCCGGTGTCAACGTTCAATGAACGAGCATCGAGCGACATGCTGATTTAGCCACTGGTTACAGCTCAACTGTCTTTCGAAAGTCTTTTTTCATGAACAAGCTTCAGAATTCAGATACGAGCTTAGGTTTCTTTGGAATTTAGGGGTTGGAAACGTGAATCGATAGAATGCGGATTTCATGCATTCATAACGAAAATGTGGAATTGAAAATATGCAGGAAGGTTCGGAGTATTCCAGACTCTCGATATGTTACATTGCTGATCGAAGTATTCATTTTTTCAATCGTACATTAAATGAGGCAAGTTTTGCAGCGATGTATTTTGCAGCAAGAAAGGTAAATGAACTATGGGAAGCTTTAGCTTATCTACTTCTGTTCCGTTTAAAAAATTGTTTGAATTTTCTAGGATTCCCGTGGACGTTGAAGAAGACACAATCATTGAGTTAAACGTGCCAGGATGAAACGAAAATGAAGATATAATAAAACTTACGGTGTAGAAAATTTCAACTAATTTTCCAATAACCTTACAATTGTCTAGGATTCTTGTAGCTATTGAATCTACAGCAAGTAAATCAATTCCGTCAGAGATCGAGCAAACTAAATGTCGGATCAAATTGTCTTTCAATTTGCAATATAGAGAATTTCAACAAATATGAACCATTTCAGGATGCAAGGAGTAAAAACGAAAGTGTTTGAAAGATTATATATTATATAAGTTATAAGTTCCGTTGTGTGTGTTCCGTTGAATTGTGAGATCAATGAAATCATGTTCAGTGTGGAAATAAGATTGAAGCTCACGGGCAGATCAGCGATGTACGAAGCGTTAATGGACAGGCCGGAATGTTAATTCGTCGAGGCAGGTATGGTGGATGGAAACGGTTTGTTCTCAAATGAAAAAGTTAAACGACACGGTTCCCCGAACGAAGCCTCGGTGCAGATACCATTGGCCGCAAATACACCCACCCCCGTAAGAATTGGCTCAATTACGGGTAATCGCATACGGTCGGCCGTGCGCGCGCGTGTGTTTGATTCATAAAGTACCGGTAATTGCGGCGCAGACGTCGCTCAGGATAACCCGGAGGATCACGTGAAATTTCCGTGGTGACACCGGCACATATTCCCCCCTTCTTGTTAATTCGCGTGGAATGGAAACGAGTCAAGATGGAATCTCGGACGATCATTATTAAGCTGATCATTATCAAACGACAACCGCGGCTTTTAAACTCAATTGACGGCTCGGTGAATCTGTGGCCAATGATCCACTGCACAAGATAATGCACGGCAACGTAAGTTGCAAGAGGATTATCCCTTGGCGGCAGTATGTAGTACCTTTATGAGTTGCTGAATTTTGATTGATGCAGTAATGTTGTTTCTTTGATGGATGATTGGTTCTTGAACGCTGATCTACGACCAACCGAATGGCATTTGTTCGTTTCAGAAATCGTTACATGAATGATTCACGGATGAAACTTCACTGATCTTCAATTTGAATTCGATTAAACAAATTACATATCTTTTTAAAATTACAACGCGATCAAATAAAAATTAAATGTTCTGGTTTTTTTCAGAAACGAGCAGCATAAAATTTGCATACTAAATCTGCAAATTTACCACAGTCACAAGAAATGTCTAAGTTAATTAATCTTACCGGTCCCATTACTGATTAAAAGATACGATTTATGATGATTACTTAAACAAAAGGTAATATAAGTTTATTAGGTTGTATTAAAAAATCGAAAGAGATTAGGGCATTTATCGAGTATTACGTGAACTCATGGTGCAATCGAAGGATTGTCAGGTACACACGCACGTGTTTCATCATACAAGTGCTTGTTAAGTACAAGTGAACGTGCATCGTTGGGTGCAATCAGGTGCACGTGCACCAAGCGTAAGTTTTGACCCAAAAGACCTCTTGTTTGGATCATTTACAGTCGTGTTTGCTCTTCTGAATAGGAGCAACACCAAAGTTTGCCTTTCATGTAAATTCCACTCACTATTTGCTTGCAATATCGCATTTTTTGATTTCGTACATCTATACACAAATATAAATCATATAAAATGAATTTACTTTATTACTGTAGTTAATAAACGAATCAAAGAATAATGACAGTCCAAGCAGAAATTAAATCGCGATACAAACAGGACATTTGGTACACATGTACTCAAAGTACGTACAAAATTATACGGTATCAACTGAAGCTTCTGAAAGAATCTCTGTATCTTGTTTACACCAAGGATTATCGATCACTCTGCGTAACTATCATCACACAACATCGGTACAACATCTAAAATGGCCAAGTTCAAGAACCAAAATAATTTGTCACAATTTTAAAATCAACCCATGTACGCCGAATGCAGGGTCATTTTGATCCGCGAGCAACAGGACATCAGTTTTCGGCACAAACTTTATTATGAGGCAAAAAAAACCATTCGTCTTTCGAGGGTTAAGAGATCGAATAAAATCGAGCCCGTAAAATGGAAGCAAATGAATCGCGTCATGGTCGATACCGAAATCCGGCAACGACGAATCTTGTCCGCACCGCCTCGCACCGGTAATCGTTCGAATACTAGTAGTAGTTTGAAATTCATTGGGTACCCCTCGCTACAGGTCACGGACGTCGTTAATTTACGTCTACGTAACCCATTTTAACGCCTGTGCCCCAATCGGAAACGGCGCAGGTACTCCAACGCCCTAAATTGCTATCAGACGATGATGAGAAGATTCGAGGCTGGTGTATGAAAGATACGGGATTCCCAGATGTCCGGGGAACCCGATCGAACACAGAACAGAGGCTAAACAGAGCCAAAGAAACACAGAACTATAAAGACACGAAGAGACACAGACAGAACAGGCGCAGGTATTCCAATCCCCTAAATTGTCATTAGATAAGGGTCGGTGAATTCGAGGCTGATCAGGGAAAGAAACGAGATTCCTAGGTGTCTGGAGAACCCGATTTTATCCAGAACAGAGGATAGACAGGGACATAGAAACAGAGAGACAGAAGAAGCGCGGGTACTCCGAACCCCTAAATTGTTATCAGACGACGATCAGCAGATTCGAGGCTGATCAAGCAAATAAATGGAATTTCTAGATGCCTGGAGGATCCGATTGCAACGAGAACAAACGATAGAAAAAGAATGAGAAAAAAGAGAGAGGTAGAGAGAGGAGGAAAAAAGCAATAGAAAAATGTTTGGCTCACTTACCACCCGAGCTTCTTCCACTTCCGGTCGTCGGCGGCATCGAGGAAGGTCGGGACCGGGTAGCAGACCGCGGAAATCGGCTGTGAGGAGCATGGCAAGGCCAGGGCGAACTGGGGTTGCCGATGATGGGTGTGGGAGGGTGAGCTGCTGCTGTGTCTAGACAGCGTTTCCGGCGAGACGATCACCGCGGACGGCGAAGCCGGCGACGGCAGCGCGGCCGGCAGTCCTGGCCAGCTGCAACCAGAGAGAACCGCGTTTCCTCATTATTCCTATCCTGTCCTTGGCCGATCGATTCGTCGTCGGTATCGGCGGCTCAATTACCGAGATAATTACGGGCCGCGATGCCAGGGGTACCTGAACTACGTCAATAAAGCGATACACTTTCTCTGTCGTTCCCCCTGTCAACCACGCGACAACCACCACCAGCTCCTTCGCTTCCGTTGATCCTCGCGGTTGCGTAACATTATTTATAGGGTCACTATGTTTCCAGAAAAAATACAGTTGAACAGATCGGAAGTGTTTATCTCTTAGCAATCGCTTCGTCGCTTTAACCTTTGACTCGTTCAGATTCACTTTACTCCTTCAAATGTGTCTACTTGCTAAGCTGGTGGCGCACTTGTGTATAATCGTTTCATTATTTTTGGTTACGTAGTAATGGTCACTTATCCTCGAAATGTAAAACTGCGCTGGAAATTGCATTAATCAATTACGCTCATTTCCAGACTTTTGGACCAATATCCAGTAAGGAAAATACAGATGGTCGGAGGGGACATGAGACACTCAAAATATTGACAACCTATATTATATATATATACAGGATGTCCCAGGTTTTAATGTTCAAACTTGGCCAGTATATTCTATGGCACAAAGTAAGAAAAAACTGTTATGTAAACATAGGTCATATAGAGCTTTATTAAGAAGTTATAACAAAAATTCATAATAGGAATAATAATCA